AACGTTAATTACGTACACACACACACACACACACACACACACACACACACACACACACACTATATATATATATATATAGGAAAGTAAAATCTTAATATGTTTCATACATGTTGCTCAGAGCAACAGCAAAATTGCCAGACTCTGATTGTTATTGTTAAATCATTTTGTTGAAAATTGACGTGTATGGACTACTTACTCGTATTCTTAAAATATGAGCTCCTGTTTTAAACATGTTTTTACACTGATGAATACTAGTTAATGCTTTTTCTGGTAAACTCATATGACAGATACAGATACAGACAAAAGCGGTATGACAATTATCATGTTTCTATGTTTGAAATGTATGCGAAATACATACACACTAGGCAACCGCTACTGTCAAATAATTAACAAAAAAGCAAGACTAGTCGTATATTTTGAAATCGTTAAAGGCTCGAGTTTCTTCACAGTAATATTGAATATTACATCAAGTAAGAAATCGTAAATTTTTCTAGCAATGTACTTGAGAATAAATTAATTTTTATGCATGCCATCATGCATATTTACTTGATTACATTTTCTTCTTATTATATAAATTATCAAATAAATGTAAATTTTAATTAATATAACACGTATAAATAAGCAGATTGAATTATATGAGCATTTATTATCAGAAAAGGATGATTTTGGTATTATATGATATTTTTTATGTATATATTTGATATCAGAAGTATGTCGAATGATGGAATAAAAAAAGTTTAATTTAAATTTAATATATGTATGTATACATGTATATTTTTTATATAATACATACATACATATATGTATGTGTACATATAAATATTATATTAAGAAAAAATATGTATATACGTTTTGTATCATAAAAAAAATATGATTTCTTACTTTGAACATTATAATTTATACGACTGTGAAGAAAAAGCAAAAGCCTCAATAATCATTTTCTTTGCAAGTATAAAAGCGAAAAACAGACTCTGGCAACATTGCAAGGGGTATAGCAATGCAATATATAGCCCTTTTGCACTTTATTTTTTTAATATGATTATGACGGGTTTTTAACTAATGTCTAAATAGTCGTTACATTTTCTTTATGAAACATTTTGTCAAAGTAATCGTCGCGATTGGACATATTCGTTGCCATAACTCCAAACGCAATTTGAATGAGTCGTTAACTTTTTTTTTTTCTAGAATTAAGGACCTTCTGCCGGAACGTCGAGACGTAATTCGCAAAAGTCGCGTTCCGGTGAGAAGCGTACAGTTTTATGACCAAATGTATTCAGTTCTCATTGCGCTTAATGAGCACAATTATTCTCGAGAGACGCAGGGATACTTTTTATAATGTTCTGCATGACGGAAGGTTTACAGGAGGGTGTTAATTTTTAAATAATCAGAGCAATTCAATGTTAGCTTCGAATAAATTTCCTTTTTTTTTGTTACAAATTTTACTAGAATGATTTAATGATTTGTTGCGATTATAAACTGCGACAAAATATATAATTGTACTTTTGTATATCTTTTCACATCTTTATATTTGTAGATAGATGTATAAGATGAAATTAATTTGTGGTGATAACTATCTTCGATTGCAGACACAGCACAAGAGTTGGTCTGATCATTGTACAAGTATTCAATTTTCTTAAAAATATTCGAATGATATTTTATAGTGAATCATTTGTTATTCTCTTACTATGAAATATATGTCTGAAATGTTTAAAAAAATCTCGATAAAATTAAAGTACCTTCCAAAAGAGAAAAAGAAAAAAATCCCGTCGAGCGTCTTTGTAAACCTAAGTCTCGAAAATGAAGTGCGAAGAGTATCACCATTTACTTTACTATAGTGTATATTTCCTGTAAAATCAGTTAACTATCGATTTTAATCTAAAAATCGATTGCATTATGCATCTGATGTATGCATGTATACATGTATGTATACATATCATGTTTTATTATATATATATATATAAACATGAGAGGAATAATGTATGTATGCATGTATGCATTATATTGATGCGATCAGCGAACTTCGCAT